CTCGCCATTGTTTGATATTGCTTTCTCTCTTTTTTCCTTTGGCCTTCCCGCGTGGTGTCCCTTCTTCTTACTTTCGATTCTTCTTCCGTTTATCCACACTGTCCTACCAATCTATCTTATAAATATGTCTTCCTTTAAACTTGGTTTACAGTTAGGTCCCATTATTCTCACTTTCTAATCTTATTTGATTGTTCCAGAAAATACTCTTCCAAAAGCGATGAAATTCTCTCTACCACTTTATATTACTTGAGATATAAACATGACCAGAGGCCCATTTGGATTACAATTTTTAATTGATTAAGCAACAATATTATTTTGTGATCCTTCATAGAAATATGATGTTCTGTACTTCTAGGCCTATTTTGGTGATGGTAAATGATATATTATCATCTAGATCAAAATATCTGCAACATTAATCCATTTGGACATGACAATTTTCAATAAGTTCTTACCTATAATACTTTACTCCTCTTAATTCAATTGTATTCCTAATACAGTCAACATCTTATTGACAATTTAAGTGTCCCCATTCAGAATCGCTTTTGTCAGTCTGCAGATTGGGTCTAATATAAATCCAACAAACGCACATTTTAATTCTGGACCATTTTTAGTATGACTCTCCTTAATCCAACATTTGGTTTGTGTATCAAAGTAATTTTCACCCCAAAATTTGTCTTATAACTTCTTTGATTCTGTGTTGAATTTAGTAGCATATAATTCAGCGAATCTTGTGCATGTTAATGACCAACCTTCTTTTCCTGATCCAAATGCTACTGTTCCTTATTCTGGTTTTAACAAAAAATCACCCATATCGTCTGATTAGTTCGTAAATATGATAGTATTTATTTGCTCAATTATCTTGACCAATGTGTTGTAAATTCGTTTCACCATCCTGTTCTAATTCAAGAATTGCTCTGTCTAATTTATTCACCATTAACACAGGTTTAACTTTCTCTTAAAGAGCCATTCTCAATATGGATTCTGTAGAATATGCCACTCCTTCCAAATAATCCACAACAATTAAGATTCCATCTGATACTCTCAATGAGGATAAAATGGCTTCGGATCCAAAATTTAGTAATCTGGGGTAATCGATTAAATTGAATAGAAATTGTTATTTTGTTCCATTAGATGAAAGGTCGAATTCATAATATAATGAAAAGGTAGTATTTTTATTAATTATCAACGCCTCTTTTGATTAATCAATAAGATTTATGTTAGATTTGCTGAGTAATTAATCAATTATCGTTTATCTTCCATGATCTATATGTCCAATTACACAAATATTTCGAATATTGTCTTGATTATTCATGCTTTGTATTATTTGATTTATTGTTAAATTGACCATTTTATTAATTATTTTACTTATTAAGAAATCATTCATAAACTTTAGTATTACACTAAATATTTCTGATTAAATCTAAATTGTATGTCAAATGCTTTACTAATTATTCCCTTCCATGAGGTAATAGTGATATATAAATAATGATTGTTATTGATTTATCATTCATTAGAAGAGTGTGATAATGATAATTGTTAT